CCATAGTTTGTGGAATATTTGCATGTTTGTGGCTGTAACCCTGAGATTTCTAGATGGCATAAGGCTCACTTTCAAAAAGCACCCTGGTTCCTGATTGCTTTACCTAGATAAGCCTGTCAGCTGCTGTGGTCTGTTTCTCTGCCATGCACAGCTGTACCACATTGTCAGATGCCCATCTTTGTTGGGTCTTTGAAGCCTTCCTTCACTCAAACTACAGCTTCTGGAGTAGCCTACTGTCTTGGAGTGCTGCACGTGTCATCCCCAGCATGGTTACAAAGAATAAAATTGATATACTGCTGGAATGGTTGTGTGCCAGATGTCACCAATGAACATGTTTTGGAAGTCAAATGTCACATCTGGAAGGCCCACTGCTCACAGCAGGGGTAAACACCAGACAACAGTACTACAGGTTCATACTTCATGTATTTACTGAGGATCTGCTGTGGATCCAGGGGCTGAAGCTCCATATTTGGCTGCCACTCTGTTTTGAGGCTACCTATTGGACTTCCTGATTTTGTCACTTGTTTGTCAGTAAGAGCATCACTACTATTCCAGGCAACTTCCATTCCCAGGTTTGCTGAATGGCTTCCCACTAATGCAGAAAGCCCCAGTTGCTTAAAAAATATAGACAGTAGTATGAATGTACTCTAGTTGAAAGCACTATATTTTTGCAATGCAAGATGGGAGATCTGTGTTCTCTTCCTGGTTCTACCTTTGTGTTACCTGGGGCATGGCCTTCCTTTGGCCTTAATCTCCACATTAGATTCAATACACAGTAAGGGTGCTGTGTATTGAATGGTGTTTAATAGGCCTTGCATCTTTGACATTCTTAGCTTGAACTATAAGCATTCAGAAATTGTGTAGAATTTATAATTAAGCAATTTTGCAAACTGGTGGGTCACAGTTCAGGAGAGTATGGGAGACTACCCTTTCTTTTCCCCTTGGCAGAGAAAATCAGACCGCATGTGGCTGCTGCCAACATAGAGTAACTAACAGTCAGAAGAACTAAAAACAATCATGGTTAAACAGCAAGGTAAGATGACCGCACGATATTAACACACTTTTCTTCACTCAGCAAGAGTTCTTTTTTAATCTGTCACTTCCAATATTATAGCAGCATGTTTCAGCCCATTTAGGTTAAGTAGCTATAGTGATTTTGAAAGTACTAATGATTCTTATATAGTGATTGCAAATGCCCTAGGCAGAATTCAGCCACCGCCTGGCTCCAAGACTGCTGGCTCTTAGGTGGGCTTAAAGGCCCCACATCTTCAGGGGTAGCAACAGTAGCAAGTGGAGCATGATGAATTCAGTCATTTTTGAGCTCATGGGATAAAGGAAAACTGTGGCACAGAGATTTATGGGCCCAGGAGCTCCTCCTTCTGCCACAGGGAAGACCAATCACAGGAGACATGAGATGAATTTCCCACTTCTGCCTTTGTAAGGGGTGGTCTCCATGGCAACCAGGCCAGTGAGGCTCTCTTCACAATAGCAGATCACTGGGACTATAGACCTTTAGCTATTCAAACTTGAAATAATATATTTCATGCGTGAACTAGCATTCTCCTTAAACACAGTTGACAATTACAGCATCTCCTCTTTCTCTCCCTTTGCCAACAATAACAGAACTGAAATCTTTCATTTGTTCATGAAACCTAAATCTCAGGCATTATTTTGAAGTACGGTCTCTTTTCATGATGCTCAGTGCAGGATTAATTGCTATTCTGGGATAAACACGGATTCTGATTTAGGTGACATTTATTGAGCAACTACTGTGTAGTAGTGTAGTAGGCACTGAGAAAATAATTTACATAGATTATTTTATTTAACTCCCAATGTATATACATGTTAACTCAAATTTAATCAACATTATTATTTCATATGTGTTCACTTCTTGAATATTTGTGGAATAATGGAATGAAAAATAAAAATCAGAGACTTTTATGCTAGCAAAGACTTTTGAAGAACATCCTGCCAAACACTTCCATTATACAAATGGAAAAATCAAGTTCCTTTGGGAGGAGTGACTTATTCAAGGCCATACCAATAGCTACTTAGGCCCAATTCTGTCCCAGGTGGATTTAGACCATTGTCTTCTTGGGACACAGTACACATTGCCTCATAAGAAGTGGGGTAGTAACAGAACTTGAAGTCTCTGTGTTATATTGCACTGGACACATTCTTCTGAGGGCTTTGCTGCAGGTAGTGTTTAGGATACCTCTCTGAATTACTTGTCAAGAAACACTTGGAGAAATTTGAACAGATGTTTATTGATATTTCTGTTTGCAAGACTGGAAGAGAATCAGAAACACAGTGATAGTTGCTGCGCTCAAGGAGTAGGGTGGTAGGTGATTTTTTTTTTACCTCCTGTCTTTCTGTAATATTTTTCTTCTGTGTGTATAGTACTGGGATTTGAACTCACAACACTGAGCTTATTAAGCAGGCGTTCTACCACCTCAGCCACATCTCTAGCCCTGTTTGCAAGACTAAAGTAAAGAAGTATTAGCTAGAACAACTTTCAAGAAATCAGTAAGTGAGGTCTGGCTGGGGGTGTAATTGGAAGAGGGGTCAAAAGGTTTCAGAGCCTGATTTTGTCAGTAGTCCCATGCATGCAACATCAAATGCAGGGTGACTAATTCAATATCAGTCAAATTCACGAAAAGCTCCTGTATGAACTAGAATAGCAATTCACAAATAAAAAATCGTTGGTTGGTCAGCAACCCTTAGAAAATCTAATATAGAAGGATTGATCATAATGAGAAAGTTCCTTGGTAAGCATGAAACCAGAAAAAGAGGGAGCCAGTTGACCAAGATAGTGAATCATGCCTTTAAGCCTGTAGTGATGGATATACTAGCCAAGCCGATATGGTGCTCACATTCTGTGGTCTAGACTACTTCTTGTTTGGCCCTGGAGAATGCTGGAGACACACTGTTAAATTCTTCCTTGAAGACCCTGGTAGTTCTAAGTTACAAGGTGATTGTTCTTTCTTTTAGTGTTATTTTTCAGACAGGGGAAAACTTAACTTGGTTGATGTAAGCTTTCTTAGTTACAATGATGTGCCAGTTTTGCCTTTATGAAACCATCCTTAGATCTCTATAATCATTCAATTACAAGCTCTTAGGGAGCTATCACTCTGAAAGCAACATTCTCTCCATGTTCTTCAGGCACTGTACTTTGTCCTTATGTTATAAAAAAAGTTTTAGACCAAACAAAAAGCTAACCTGTGGTTGACAGCCTGTGTATCTGTGTATAGCAGTAAAATAGTATAATGCTCCCTTTCTCTCCTTTAAATGACTGTGAAGGGAAAAAAGTAGAGAAGGAATGAGAACGAAACACTGATTTAGGGTTGGGAAAATATAAAGGTTTCACTAAACTCCCCCAAAATCAATGAACCAATGAAGAAATGGGCAACTGAACTAAACAAAACTTTTCCAAAAGAAGAAATACAGATGGCCAAAAAAACACATGAAAAAATGCTCACCATCTCTGGCCATAAAAGAAATGCAAACCAAAACCATACTAAGAGCCCACCTCACCCCTGTTAGAATAGCCATCATCAAAAACACCACTAACAACAGGTGTTGGTGAGGATGTGGGGAAAAAGACTCCCTCATACACTGCTAGTGGGACTGCTCTCTGGAAAAAAATATGGAGGCTTCTTAAAAATTTAAACATAGATCTGCCTTGTGATCCAACAATTCCACTCCAGGGGATATACTCAAAGGAATGTGACACAGGTTACTCCAGAGGCACTTGCACACCCATGTTTATTGCAGCACTATTCATAATAGCCAAGTTATGGAAACAGCCAAGATGCCCCACTACTGACGGATGGATTAAGAAAATGTGGTATTTACACACAATGGAATTTTATTCAGCCATGAAGAAGAACGAAATCTTCTCATTTGCAGGGAAATGGATGGAACTGGAGAACATCATCTTAAGTGAAGTTAGCCAGGCTCAGAAAACCAAAGATCATATGTCCTCCCTCATATGTGGACTTTAGATCTAAAACAAATGCAGTAATATTATTGGACATGGGCCCCATGCTAAGGGGAGAACACATACAGGAGGAATAGGGAAATGTAGGAAACCCAAAATTTGAAAGTGTTTGATGTCCTCACTGCAGAGGAGCTAATACAGTAACCTTAAAATGACAGACGTCAATATGGGAAGGTGACTGGGAAGTAGTGAAGAGGTCTGTGAGAGATGAATCAGTTTGGGTTGTAATACACATGTGCATGGAAGCAATGCTAGGAATCTCTCTATATAGCTATCCTTATCTCAACTAGCAAAAGTGCTATGTTTTCTTATTATTGCTTATGTCTACTCTTCAACAAAATTGGAGAAAAGGGCAGAACAGATTATGCCTGGAAGCGAGGGGGGTGTGAGGGAGAAAGAAGGGCAGGGGGGTTGGGCCTAAACAATGTATGGACATATGAATAAATGAATAAAGAAAAAATCAGAAGAAAAAGAAAATACAAAGGTTTCAAGAATAAGTGTAGAGGAAAAGAAGTAGTGTTTCTGGTAAGTTTTAACCTGTCAGTTGCTCCTATGTTCTTCCTTTATGAGTATGGCACTGGCCTTGTGATGGGCCAGACCAAAGGTACTGTATATAGATCTAATAAATGTTAATATTTTGGTGAGAAAGGCAAGAAAGACTTGGAACATGGATTTCTGCTAAGGAGGGAGAATCAAGTGAGTTATCACAGTGGAGAACCATAATGCCTGATGACCAGAGTGGATAATTTAACAACTCAGTTCTGTCAAGGGCTAGGCCCATAGAATAGTCATGAATTCGTACCACATTATATTTCTGATTACATCTATAATCTACTTACTCTAGCAAAATTTAAATTCTAAATGGAATTGTTACCTGTAAAGAGAAAAAGCAGTATTTATAGAATGCATGTATTTAATTTTAACAAAATAGGAAAATTGTTATTAAAGGATTTGACCCACATTCAATCCCAACGAATCAACCTTGGAAATGCATTTTTCATTAAGTGAGCTTTGTTTTTTCCTTAATCCAGTTAACATACCGGGATACCTTGGTATATATTCCATATTTGCCTTTCATTGCACACTCTTCACCCCAGCTAATAATTCCAGTTAAGAAACTGGTCCCTTCCACTTCAGTAACATGAGGTCCCCCACTATCTCCTTGACATGAATCTCTACCTCCATCATGGAAGCCAGCACAGAACATATTATTATGGATGGTGAACTTTGTGGATCGAAGACACGTGGCTCGGTCAACAAGTGGAACTCTAAGGTACTGAAGAATTGAAGCTGGTCTTCCTCTGTTGAAGAGTCTCCCCCAGCCACTCACAAAGCCAGATCCAAATCTGAGGAAGATGTTCGTATATTCTCTGTTGGCAATGCAAATAGGTGTTACATAGTCATTTAGTACTAAGGGTTTATCCAGTTCCAGCAGAGCAATGTCATGGTTGTACTTATTAATAGTTGCATTGTAGCTGTGATAAGTAATAACTTGAATCACATTTCGCCTTTGTTCTGTATCTTCTTTCTTTTCAATGTCATGTTCACCTATTGGAAATAAATTTTATTTTCAGTTACAGTTTTTCACATGAACAAATCACCCACATGTCTACTCACTGACAAATGGCAACCAAGTCTCAAAGATCTGAATCTTAGATGGATGATGGGGAAACTTATACATCAATGAATAATTGCACCCCACCGACATGAGTAGATTATGGGTTCATGAAAAGAACTATGGGGCTTGGAGAATGGAGCAAGTTAGGTTTTACAATTATGACCCCTCTACCACTAGCCCTATTTACTCAGCAGTAATCTTATTGGACCTTATTAAAACATGATGCATCATTCATGCAGAAGAGCTATCCATAGTGCACATTATTGTCCTTTTTGTTTACCTACCTGCTACAACCTCAATTTTATCACCAGGTTCAATACAGTGGGCAGCAGTTACGACCCATTTTTCATTAATGATGGAACCTCCACAGAATGCCTTAATTTTACCATTCAAAATGACCTGAGGAAATAAAAGTAAGACTCTTACTGCATAATATATTTGATCCAGAAGAAAACAAATACATGTATTATTTACAGGAGTGGACAAAAAGTTGTCTTCTAGGTGCTGGCAGAATTGGAGGATTTCTGGAAAGTGTCAGCTTTGCAGATGAATTAGTGTTTCTGGTGCACAAACCAAAACCCTTCCTGTAACTATTTTGAAGAGAATGCAGAGAGGCAGGGGGAGTTTAGTGGAGGCAAATCTGAGGAGTGGCTTCTTTTGGTGATTTAGAGCCCTTGGGTTTCTTTCTGGAGTGAGTCAGAGTCTCTGATGTCACAGCAGTTATGTCAGGAAATGTACTGACTCAAGACCTCAAGATGAGTAGTCAGTATTGAGTCTCCCATCCCTGCATGAGGAAATCTCTTTGTTACATGCCACTTGAAAGCAAAAAATTACTTATTTTTCCAGAAGTCTTTTCAAGCCCCTTCCAAAGTGGACTATTAGGAAAGGAGACCTAAGGTCTCCATGGGGCTGTGCTTGTAGTCATCCAGGCCATGAGGAGCAGCAGGAGTCATGTGCTCCCCTAACCACATTCAGCTCCTTCTGGCTGGATATGTGAGCTGCCTTTGTCCCAAAAGATCTACTTTTGGGCAACATGGACAAAGTTGTTTGGATGTTGCTTGGAGCCTGCACATTATTGTTAGGTAAGAGACCAACCCATCAACCCATTATTTCATCTAATTTTTCATTTAATCACAGAGGATGATGAATGTTTTCACCACCTCTATGTGTAAAACAACTGAGAGAACTTTAGTTCCAAGTAAGCAAGTGCTTTCCTTTGATCCACATTTTCAGGAAGAACACTGACAAGTGTGAACACTAGAGGGCATGCTCAACATTCAGTAAACCCTTTAACAGGCACCCATTAACTCTGTGAAGGGATGTTGTTTTTCTAAGGCATATGCCTTTAGCCCTAGGCATATACCTATTCATAAACAATGGAAAGGGAGCTGTCAATCCTGAATTCAACTTACAGAGCTCCAACAGTGTCCTAGACTGTCAAATATTAGCCTTTCCCCCTGGAAACCTGTGGGACCCACTCTCTATAGGCTTCTGACCTTCTTTTTCATACTCTGACTTTCCCTCTCTTTCTAGCTGTTGCTCTTTATTTTGAAAAGATGAAAAACAATGAAAAATCCTCACATAATAGTATAATAAGCAGCAGTGTGTCTACTACCCAAGTTTAACAATCTTCTGAATTTTTTGAACATTTATGAAGTTTCTTTGGGGGACAATTATTGTAGTGTTTTATATTCATTTAATACTCAAGCTATAATACCTTTATGGAATAACCTGACTCTATCCATTCATAGATGAACAAGCCAAGGTTTAGGAATGCGTATAAACTCCCCAAAGGTGAGTTAGAGGTAAAGATGAGGTGTAAAACCAAGTCCACCTGACTCCAGTACCTGTGCTCCTCATCATCTCTCCAAGTGTGGTTTGTGGACCAATTGCAGGAGAATCACCTGGGGCACTTGTAAAATGCAGATTTGGGACTTATTCAGATTTTACCAGAATATTTAGTAGGTGAGGCTGGGAAAAATGAAGCTGTCCAGAATATTTGTATGCATAATTAAGTTGGTGAAATGTTTTATATATACACTGAATTGGAATTCCCAAGAGTTGGCAGTCTTTATATTTTGTAAGTGCTCATGCCAGACTGCTTACATACTTTGTGGGGGTAAGTGAGAAATGAAAATGTGAGTCCTTTGTTCCAGCAGGGTGGGGGGTGGTGGAGGGGGGTGCCTGGAAAGCACCATTAAAGATACTAAAATGCAAAACTTTTCCCTTTCTTCTTTGGTCTCTTTCACAATCTATTTTTTTAAAAACTTGCGATTTAATGGCGTGCTCCCTCCGGCACAGGGGACGTTTTCTGGGGGGAGGCGTTGCAGACCTTCACAGGATCCCTACTCAGCTTTAGCACACACACTCAAGACCTCCTACTTGCTAGCTGCAGATCACAGGGCCCCAGCAGGGGAGGCTAAGCCAATCTTCCCTTGCCATTGACCTATCAGAGCCCACTAGGTAGAGAGGTGATTCCTAAAGGATTGCAACTTCCATGTCAGGGTGCTCTCAGTACTTGGAAGCTAAGTTGGCAAGAGGCTCACCCCTACCATTCACCCTCCAAACACCCCTTCTCCAAATAGCACAGGGCATGTGTACCTGCTTACACCCTCCATATGCTTGTGTGCATCCTGCCATGGGAGGAGAGCAGCAATGGTGTCTGGGTAGAGATTAGGAGGGAGAGTTTGCTTGGGCACCATGGGGTGGGGATAGAGTAGTCATTGAGAAGGTGTGGGCAGAGAGAAGTAGAGACTGCAGTAATCCCAGAATCCAGGTCCCCAGCACTGTCTCATCAGAGTTTACTTACAGAACACAAACACAAATGAACACCAGATGTGAGACCCTTCTTTGTACAGAGCCCCAAGCAAGTGCACTGGTCATAGGACCATGGGCTGACCTTGATCCCAAGTGATTTTTATCACCAAGCAAATATGAGCAACGTGGTTCTATATTGGTCCTGATTATTACAGCTTAATGTACTGTTCAAGCAAGTGGAATTAACATGCAGTGATGTCCTGTTGCCTCTCCTCTAGCTGCTGTTTTGTGGGTATTGAATATCTCACAACTTAGTGGGATGCTTGGCCCTTGGGACCAGAGACTATCATGTAATTTGACCCCTGCTAGCTTCTACTTCTTTCCAGTGGATAGCTGAGGAATATGGTTGTGTTCTTTTAAGTCTGAAGAACATTCTTTGCCAATCTCTGATTGGTGTTAGAAATTTTAGCAAATGTCTTTGCCAAGAAAAAGGACTAAAATACATTTTCATTTAAAGATATTATGAACGGCATGGTTTTGGAATATTTGCTTGACCACTTCAGGATCACAGCTATCTAAATATTGGCTATATAGGGAATGAGCTGCCTGCTTGGCCAAGGACAAGTTCTTGCAAGACACTACTTCAGAGAACCATGGTGGGAAATAGGAAAGCATTTGTTCTGAGCAAGGCATCTGAGTTCTGAGTTCTGATCTGTCAAACATTTTCATGGTTGCCACAACCTAATGGGAGCCTGTTCCTCTCCCCTACCATGCATCTACAAAATACACATTCACAAACTCTATGTTCTTCATGACAATGCCGCCCTAGAGCAATAGCTGTTCCCTTTCCAACCTTTATCTCCAGCCTAGATTTTCCCTGTGATTTCAGTAAAACCCTATTCTCCCTTCCTACCCACCCCAGCTTTACAAAAACACCATTTCTGTGTTTTAACCCTCATATACAAAGTCAAACCACTTGTACATGACATACAGCTTGCTAAGCCCACAGATATGTTTTTTCCAGCCCATGCCCCTGTTCATTTTGCTGGGCACAGAAGGAATACTCA